AAAAAAAAAAAAAAAAAAATCTTGAAACAACAACAACATTCATAAGAATCACAATTAAATTAAATTAAAAATAAAAAAGAGAGAGAGAAAGAGACACTGAAATGGTCCCTTAAAAACCATATGCACACCAATTGATTGCAAAAAAGTAAAAACCATCAATATAACAAATCAGTGCAACAAATTCGATCCCTTTGAAGCTGAAAAAAAAATATTAAAAAGAACCCATTATAACACGCAAGTAGCATTTGCAGGATTATACAAGTAAATCTTGAACCTGGTAAAATTTTCCAACAGTGGAATAGAGAGAGATGCACAAATGGGTTTGGATCAAAAGCAGCGAGGCGTTGGAGGCGGCGAGAAGTCAGAGGTTGTGTCTCAAAGACGGGGAGGCGCGATCACGAAGAGGGACTGAGGAAGACTGGGAGAGACCGGAGGCGACACGATTTCAAAGAGAGGGAAGAAGACGATCCTGCCTGCGGACTTGCGGTGGCTATCTGCTGGTGTTTGGTGCCAGATTGAGCGAGCCGAGAGTGGCGAGTCCGAGTGGCGTACAATTGCAGAAGATGAGAACTGAGAAGTGAGAAGAGAGGCGGAGTGCGGACTAGTATGAAATCTGTCTCTTAAGTCTTAACCCTAATTAGTAATTAAGTAATTACTTTATATAATATACATATATATAACATCCGGGCCAGGTCGGGCCGGGGCGGGGCGGGGCGGGCCAGGGCAACAGATAGGACCCGGACCTGGCCCGTTTCTCTAACGGGTCGGACCCGCCCCGGCCCGTTTCAAAAACGGGGCGGGCCAAGCCTGCCCCAAACGCTACGGGCCGGGCCGGGTCCAGGTCGTTTTGCCATCCCTAATGGGAACTAAGTTTGAGAGAAGAATTCATTAGGGTGGTGGCAGGTTTGCTTCCTAAAATCATTTATCAGTTAATATATCAAGGGAATATTTCCTCTGACACATATTAATGTCTTTTTCAGTGTTGCATATTCTAAGCCTAGAATATATTTGAGCTGACCAAGATCTTTTATACTGAAACAAGAATGAATGTGATATTTAATTCTTTGTTATCGTCTAGATTATTGGCACAGAAGATAACATATTAACATACACTAATAAAACTAGAAACGAAGAAGTTTCAGAATTGAATAACATGAAAAGTTAACAGTCAGCAACAAATTGTTTAAACCATAAGTAAACATGTAGTTATTTTTAAAACTACTACTCAAAAACTTATTTTAAATCATATAGACTTTTAGGAATCGAGAGAGAAAGTGAGTAAAGAAAGGAGAAGGAGAAATTGCATTATTCGGGAAAAGTATGTTTTTTGTACAATATGATGATTTGGTATTTATACATGATGTCTAGTGAATTATTAGTGTTAAAATAGTAATTGATAACTTAATGTTCACTACTGATAACATATAATCTAATATTTTGACTTAAGTCAAACTCTGTCATCGAGGTAGAAACCATTGAAGATCGGTCGACTCGAGCTAGTTGTTCGAACAGATCCACCGAGCTGACAGTGGCGAAACCACATTGAGGGCCGGAGAGGCGCCGGCCCTCCCAAAAAATAAAAATTGGGGGTTTTGGTGAGAGGTTGAGGCAATCGAAGTGGCTGGAAATGGAAGGGCGCCCTTTGAGCGTCCTTCCGATGCCGCCGGAGGCCCGGAAGAAGATGAATCTGGGCCCTCCCCGTGCTGGGATCCTGGTTTCACCACTGCGAGCTGATAGTGGTACTATATCGCGCATATTTAGTGGTACTATATTATATTGCTTTAATACATCAAAGCATGCTTCTTATATTCATATTTAGTTATGAATTGAAAATATAATAACAATTTGAGTAATGTAACGGAAGCGGTGTTATGCTAGCTAACCTAATCCAAAAGTAGCAACCCTCCTACTATTAAGTAATTACACTACTCCTACCAAACATTGTTAGCTCATTAAGTTTTTATTATTTTTCTAGATTTACCTGTCTGACACGTACGTGATGTGTGGCAAAAGCAGAGGAGCTAGCTGTCATGGAAGTGGAAAAATAAGGGGAAATGTAAGCCTCTCTATGACTATATATATGGCCTTAAAACGTCGCTCCCATCGCTCTCACAACACAACACAACACACAATTTTTGCAAGCTGAGCAAAATTCATAAAATATACTAATAATAATTAACGATCAGAGTAATGGCGTCGAAGGTCGAGGTGGAGGTTGAGATGAAATCCGATGTGGGAAAGGTTTGGGACAACATAAGAGAATCGACTGAGGTTTTCCCAAAGGCACTGTCTCATCACTACAAGAGCATTCAAGTTCTTGAAGGTGATGGCAAATCTGCTGGCTCTGTTCGTCTCGTTACATATCAACCAGGTTCATCCATTTATAATTAAACCTTTTCATTTTTGTTTTTCTAATTCTTGGACTTGGACAATATTGGAATTTACTACACTTACAAATTTTACTAGATAAAATTTTGCGATTTGATGATATTTATATGCAGGACTGCCGGATATTACTAAACCCGCAAAAGAGAAGATCGAGAAAGTGGATGAGGGGAACAAAAGCCTAAGCTACAGCGTTATCGAAGGAGATGTGTTGAATTACTACAAAAACTTCAAGGCGGGCCTGAGCGTGGGCCCTAAGGGAGAAGGGAGCCTTGTTAAATGGTGGTGCGAGTTTGATAAGGCGAGTGAGGAAGTCCCCAGTCCGGATCTCATTAGGGACTTTGCAATCAAGAATTTCAAGGATTTGGATGCTTACATTATTGGAAAAAATAATCCTTGAAAATAGTCGTGTCATGGATGTGTCTACAATAAAATAAAATCTATATGAATGTGGTATTGAATAAAAAGAACAACCTTTGAATAGGTTTGTTTCTTCTTGTTCTTTTCGTTTTTGTAATTTTTTTTTTCTTTTTTTTTTTTCTTCAGATGGAAGTCTTGTGACTTCTATAGATAAGCGTGTTGAAGATGGTCATGGGACTTCAATAAAGATGTGCGTTAACTTGCTTGTTTGATTTCGCTTTATCCGTTACCATCTTTAAGCCATTCTCATGGGAATGTTTAGACAAGTGATTGTTTATCAATTCAAATAACTGCTTTTTATTTAGTTTTTATTTTATTTAGTTTTTATTTGGTTGTTTTTTAATTATAGTTAATTTTTTTATTTGATTGTTTTTTAATTAAAGTTAATTTTGAAAAAAGATAGTATGGTTAGTTGTTAGTGGATATATTAAATAATATTTTAATAAAATATTTAAAGTTGATTTTATGTAGAGTAGGAGAAGAATGATTAAAAGTGATGGTTAGCTAAAATTATGTGAGTGGATGAATAGTGAATTAAAATTTATATAATGTGTAAGAATGATTGGTTGATATTATTGAATTATATGATAATATTGAAAATAGTGGAGTTAGGTTAAAGTTGAATTAAATTTGAACTTTTATTTAGTTTTTTTACTATTGAAATTATATTCAATCACCCCGAAATTGTTTTCATCCTGGTTTGATTTTGTTATATCCGTTTCTATCTTTACCCATCTATATGATTAAAATAAGAATGAGATAGCGAAGGAAAGACCCAACAAACGAAGCGAAGCGCAGTAAAGTCATAAAAAAATTAGATTCTCTATTAAAAAATATTTCGGGCCAAAAATATTAATTATTCACTTTAGATGGAAATAATATAATACTGTTTAAATAAAAAATATATCATTAATTATATAGTTTTCATATAACTCGAATTTTAATTTTTTTTTAATTACGTTGATAGTTGTTTTGCAGGGAAAAGTTAGTTTAATAACTATCTATCCGATTTTGGAATTATCATTTGAGGATTATTTTTATATCTTTAAATATTTATTAAAATCTTTGTTTAGGTTTAGCATATATGTTATATACACAAAATATAATTTTATAGTAATTGTTGACGGGCGTTTCCGGTCAACGGTTAAAAAAGTAAATAACTGAGGTGAAGTAAGGAAAATACAAAGAGATGCGATTTAGTTGTGATTTATTATCAGATCACTGGGTCGACCTCTCGTACGAGGTCGGCACTTGATTTGTCTTGAAGCTCTGTTTGCAAGGCCCCACCTGTGATATCCTTACGAATTCTTACAAAGGTTTAGTACAAATTTAGAGAGAAAGTTTGCTGATTGAGGATTCAACAACCCAGAAATAAATGAGGTGGGCTGCTATTTATAGTGGCCTTAAATGTGACACTGTTCAGGTACTGTTCACCAATCTTGTCGTACAGTACTCTGGCAGAGCAGTTCGGCGTCTCTCTGATAGGCATTAAATGCGATTTGAGGTTTCCCTCATCATTATCTGTCAGGCATTTAATGCATACATGGGGATCATTTAATGCTGTCCAGCTTTATGTCTTGTCTAGTTGGTGTAGGCCTGCAGGCTACGGCGCTCCGTCCAATCACCAATGATTACTCCCCAAGTGGCCTTATTATACTATTATCGGACTCGGCGCCTACCTCCGGGACAACCGCTCTGAAGCCTCAGGTCGGCTCTTGAGCTCGGGCTCTTCCTCCGACTCTCGTGAGTTTTATTTCATCCCGCCGCTCATGTCAGGTCGGCGCCGGTGCTTGAACAACACAAATGCCGGTCTCGAGAATAAACCCAAGAGGGCGTGGCGGTTAACTCAACTCGGGGTTCAGCTCGGCATCTGCACACCGGACCGGATCCCCGGTTCGGCCTTCGGCTCGGTTCCCTTGGGAGGCGAACTCGGATGTCGACATACATGCCCCCAAGCTCGGAGGGGATGTCTTCGGTATCACCTGTGAGGTCGTCGTTTTGGAATGCGTCTGAGTTCCCCTATTATAGTTGTGGCTCGGTGGTGTGCGAGTTCGGCACGTGGGTTTGACTTGGCGATGTTTTTTCTTTCTTCCATCATTGAGCGCGTCCTCTTCGGATCTGAAACGACGGGTCATTTAATGTGGTGTGCCCGTTACGCTTCCTGTCGGCCATGGAAAGTCGCGCCGTGTCAGAGACTTTCCATGTGGCGCCGTTCAATTCGCCCGCGTCAAACGGCGTGTCGCTTCACCGAACGACGGTTTATGGCGGGTGCGTGATGTTCACGACGTTGTGTCTGAGCCGTCAGATTGGGCTTCCCTTAGCCGTCAGATCGTGGTTTAATTTTTGAAATTCAAAAGTCGTGCCACGTGTCAAACCGTGATTGGTCAGAGACGTGTATATATAAGCTTCATCGTCTTTCTCGAGAGGCTTTCAGTTTCTGAAATTTCTCCGAGCGACCGAGTTTCTGAGCAAGAATTCAAGGCGATTTTCGAGATTTTCCAAACTTCTTCAGCGACTTTCACACTGGTAATTTCTCTTTTCTAAGATCTTTCCTCTTATCTTCCAATTATGTCAAACTTTTCTGGTTCTGCGGTGAATCTCCCTGTCGGAGATGAGGGATATACGGCGGAGGAGACCGGAGAGATGGTTGTCTAGTCTCCTCCGGCGGCGGGGATGGTGCAGCCGCTTAGGGTTACGCCAATTTTGGCCGTTCGTGTGACGCCGGTGGCGGCAGCGGCGGGCCCACGCAGAGAGAGCCCTCCAGAGTTTCCCACGGTCGAGATTATCGACCTCGGCTCCAGCCCGTCAGGCGCCGAGGTGGGCGAAAAGAAAATCGGCGCCGACTCCGCAGAAGAGTCCGACGTCGACGTGGAACTCGTCACTGAGACTTTACGGGGCGATACCCATGGACGAGAACGGGTTCCCATGGGTCGTGAGGACGTCGAGACCGATGCTGCAGTTGAAGCCGTGACCACGGCTCCCCCTGGATGTTGGTACCGCCCTGCGCGCGTCTGGCCGTCCACCGCATCAGCAACTGCAGGGACGACTGTATCGGTGCTAAGGGATGTCGACCTCGCCCAGTTGAGGGGAAAGGCTTGTTTTGGTCCTGGGGTTCGGGTCTTCGCTCCTTATACCGGTGAGCGTATCCACTGCCCCCCGCCGGGCTGCATCGGCGTGTACCGCTCGAGCGTCCTGCTAGGCCTCCGATTTCCTTTACCGGGAGCTTTGAACGACATCCTTAGTGACCTAGATATCGGCATCAGTCAGCTTGTGCCGACAGTCTTTGCCCGACTGGTCAGTCTCATCGTTCTTTTCCGTCAGCATGGTTGGGCCGACCCGACCAGCGACGACGTAAAAGCCCTGTTTGTCTTAAAGAAATCCGGAGATACCGATAATTACTATAGCTACGTCTCCCCAGGCGTGGACAGGTCCTTAATCCACAAAGTCCCCGAGTCGTTGCACGGCTACATGCCGGAGTGGTTCTGGGTCGCGGCGAATGGATGACACCCGACGCAGCTCGGCATCCATCTACTGTCTTCATCTCCGGCACTTGTAAGTTACATTTTCTATTCGTTTCTTCCTTTCTAATTAGGTGTCTTTCCGTGCTAACAGGTCGGTATTTGCATTTCAGTCCACAATCCGCGCGTTCCTCCAAGTGAGGACCTAGTGAAGAAGGTCGAAACCTTATTGGGACTTGCGGAAGAGAAGCGATATTACAAGGATCCCGTTGCCGAGGAAAGCCTGATTCTGCACGGCCTCTGCCTAAAGTACAACAACAAATCTTTCCAACCCGGTATTACTCGCTTCCTCGAACTCTCTTCCTTTCGCTTGTGGCGGCTTTTGTTTTACCCTTTGTTTTATGTGGGCAGTGTACTACCCTCTTCTGCGTGAGTGCGGGTTTAGCTCAGTGAAAGAGGCGAACAAACACGCTCGTGCACACCCGAGCTCGTTGAAAGACCGAAAAATGGCCAGCCGAATGGATTTCCTAACACAGCAAGGCAAAAAGAAAGCTCTTGGCTCGAGCTCGGCGGGAACTTCGGGTCCCGCCCCGCCTAAGCCAGCATCTGCGACCTCCTCGTCCCGAGAGACTGAGATACCCTCCGGCTCCGAGCCTGTGGCCCCTGATCTCATCTGCGGCGGAAGAAACGGTAAACGCGGGGGCCAGGCCGGTGGCCACGAAGCTGGCGCAGGTCGCGGCCGAGGAACTACCGGCCTGGGGGCCGGCACGCGCCAGAAGAAGCGCCGGCTACTCGCAGACGAGCCAGAGGAGTCTGGGGAGGAGGCGGAGACCAGGACCCAGAACGCACCCCCACCGTCCCCGAAGAAGAATAAGACTGTCGAGGTCGAGAAGACCACTCTGGTGGGCGAATCATCGGCCTTCGTCCACCAGGCCGGGTCTTGGACTTATATACCCGTGAACCCGGGTCGGAAAGCTTCCCTCGAGAAGAGTCTGCGTCGATTTTCCAACCAGTGGTTTATTGATTCGAGATTGGCAGTCCCGCTGGACTTGTCTAATCCATACCACATTCCAGGGCAGGTGATGTCAGCGGCGCGGACCGTTATGACGTTGTGGACCCCTACCGCCGACACCGCCGTCCCCATGCTCTCTCTGCCTCAGCTCACTCATCACGCTATGGCGACCATGGGTCGGGCCATGGTCGAACTGGTTTATGTCATAGAGCGGGCGCAGAAGGACGGTGCCGCCCTGCAGAAGCTCGAGGAGAACCACGCGGTCTGCGAGGGCCGTATCAGCGAGCTGAAGGATGAGTCCGAGAGGGTGAAGATGTTGGAGAACCAGCTCGTCCTTCAGCAGGGCGCGACGGTTAAGGCTGAGGAGTCCGCTGCCAAGGCTACAGAGGAGCTGGCCCATTTGACCGAGGACCAGGATGCCAGGATCGCCGAGCTGAAGAAGGCCCTGGCCGATAGTGAGGAGAAGAGGGTGGCCGAGGTTACAGCCGTCGAGGAGGCCCACAAAGCCGACCTGGCCTCGGCTTCCAAGAACCACGCAGAGGAGCTGGACCGCATCCGTCGGGAGCATGCCGAGATGGTCGCCCAGCTCGAGGATTTTGGGAAGTGGATGTCTTCTCAGGTCTGCCTCCTGAAGGAGGCGGCTAAACAGATCGACGGCGAGCCCATTGCCCTGCCCCCTCTCGTGATGTTTGTCGAGGTCCAGGTTCAGTTCTTCGAGGAGATGAAGCAAAGCATGGACATTTCGGCCGCGTTCAACCTCTACTGGTTGTTTCAGCATCTTGACACCGGGGTGCTTTCCCTCGAAGACTTTCGGGCGATCCTTT